CTATTAGCTGCTAACTGTGGAGGTGGCCCACTGCACTCTAGAGGTTGTTGTGTAAACCTCCTTGAGCTGCTCATGTGCTCAGAACAGGTAAAGATTTCATGTGTCAAGCAAGTAAGGGAGACACAGAGCGGGAAGAGGCTTCTTAAACCTTTGTTCAAGCCTCTTTTATTTTGGTTGCCACTTCTGTGAGTCAGGTTGGTCTTTTCACCACTTTACCAAGCAACATCCAGCTATGTGGGTATTATTCATTCAACAGATATTTATTGAGCCCCATTATGTGCCTGGAATAATTTTAGGTTGTGACCAGGACAGACAAGCTCCCTGTCCTTGTGGGAGTTTACATTCTTGTGGGGAAAGACATTAACTCATGTACAAATAAGCTAATTTAAGATAGTAAACAGTTTAATGAACTTATAATATGGTAGTGGCAGGAGGTGGGGGATGACTTTTTAACTCAGAAAGGGACATTGGGACAAAGATTGTCATGCTACCTGAAGTCAGGTTCCAAGTAGAGAAGGACAATGACACAAGATCCGAAATGGCACATTAGAGGACTAGAAAGCTAGCCAATGAGAATAAAGAGGAAGAGTACAGCAGATCCAGTTGGAGAGGCAGCACAAAGTGAGGGCCACAGAGCACCTTCAGCCCACATGGTGTTTTTGAGATTTCACTAAAAACAAAAACATTCTTGACTTGCAATTTCTTTGAAAATTAAAAAAACAACAAACAAACTTAGCCATGCCAATATTCTGGGATGGGAACATTCGCTTCAATGTAGAACAATTATGTTCTGTCTTCTTCTGTCCTCAATGGGGCTATTATCAATTTGGAAATGATATTTACCAATCCTGGAGGTTTAATGAAGGATTGATTTTTTTTTTTTCCTTCTCAGTGATGGAAGCATATGATGACTTGGAGTGACTTAATTTCGGTTCTTAAAACAATCCTAATTTGTCAAAAGATTGTTGCTAAAGGTGGGAGGACAGGGCAATAATGAATGAGGCAAGTGACTAGGGCCAGTGGAGACAGAAATGGACTGATTCTGTATATATTTCAGTGGTAGAGCTGACAGATTTGGGAGATAAAAAGGAATGGATGACTTTAAGGGTTTGCCTTGAGCATCTGGGTGGGTAGTGGCACCATTTTTCTGAGTCAGAGGACTAGAGAGAATAGTTTGGGAAAGAAAATCAAAGCTGTTTGTGGTTTACTAAATTAAGAAAAACTATTAAACATCTGAGTGGAATGTTAGATAGGCAGTTAAATGAGCCAGGAGGTTAGGAGAGGAAGATCACTTTGGGGAGAAAACTGGGAGTCTTCAGTACATAGGTGATACCTGCACTCATGGAAATGGATGAGATCACTGAGGGTGGAAATGTAGGTAGAAAACAGAATGTAGTCAGTTCTGGGATCTTTTTTCCTATTTAGATTTAAATCTTCTAAATTCCTGAGGTCACACAGGCTAATAAAACATTTAGTATTAAAAACAATCTGGTTGGAGCTAGGCTTGGTGGCACAAGCCTCCTGCCCGATTTGGGAAGCTGGGGTAGCAGGATTCCAAGTTTGAGGCCGCCTCAGCAAATTCAACAAGGATTCACCAGGGCACTAATGATGGTCAGAGCACATTCTTACTAGTCTAGGATTCAGAGCACTGGGATCAAATTTTGAGAACTTTTTCTAAAAGCTCTAGGTGGGGTTCAAATGCATAGTAACACTCACCTAGTATTCCTTAAGGCCTTCTTTGTGTAACAATTAAGGACTCAACATTCACTGGGTGTACCTGTTAATCCCAGCATTTCAGGAGGCTGAGATAGGGGGAATGAAAGTTCAAGGTCAGCTTCAGTAATTCAGTGAGACTTGTCTCATAAATAAAACTTTAAAAAGGACTGGAGATGTGGCTCAGTGACAAAGGGTCCCTTGATTCAATGCCCCCATGGGGGTGGGGGATAGCATTTAAGGATAAAACGTTAACTTAGAAAGTCCAAATTCTTTATAGATGTCATTGAAGGCCTTCCACACTGTTCACAAACTACATTTCCAGTGCTAACTCTCACTGTTGCCAGGAATGAACCCTCTGCTCCAGTTATATCAGTCTGCTTATTACCTCCCGTTTTATTTTTTTCACTTGGATAACATTCTCTTTAATCTGTGCTGTCACAAAATGGCTACTAAGTGGCCAGTCTAAACTGTGATTGCTGATAACACTCAGATTTTAGAAAACAAGCAAAGAGGGATTCCCAACTCTGGGGCCCCTTCTCTTTGAAGAAGTCTCTCTTTTGCAGTAAACCCACTTTTTGCTTGGAAAAAAAAAAAGAAAGAAAGAAAAAGTAACATTAGTAACCTTTAAATACTGATTACATATTGAAATGTTAAAAATTGAGAGAGAGAGAGAGGGAGAGAGAATTTTTTAATATTTATTTTTTAGTTTTCGGCAGACACATCTTTATTTGTATGTGGTGCTGAGGATGGCACCCAGGCCGCAGGCATGCCAGCGAGCGCACTACCGCTTGAGCCACATCCCCAGCCCCGAATGTTAATATTTTTGATAAATCAAATAAATCATTAAAACTAAATCCACTTATTTCTTTTTAAATTGGCTATTATAAAAATTAAAATATATGTGGCTTGCATTATTTATTGGGTATTACACTATTAATTAACCAAGGTAGAAGTGGGCTCACAATTCAACCCATTTTTGTACTTCTTTCATGCTGAAATAATAAAGTGATGAATGAGGACTGAGGTTGTGGCTCAGCGGCAGAGCACTCGCCTTGCACGTGTGAGGTTTGATCCTCAGCACCACATAAAAGTAATAAGTGAAATAAAGGTATTGTGTCCAACTACAACTAAAGTGATGAATGACAGAAAAGTCTAAGTGTGGGTTCATAGATTTGAGGCAGGTGTACCCTTAGTCAAACTGAAAATGCTATCACTGACCAACTGGCAGCTCAAGAAAGCAAAGATTTTTGTGCCAGAGATGGAAAGAGTACTAATAACTTGTGCTTCTGCTCAACAAGTGTTAGACAACAACTTCTAGGCATCCACACTAATAAAAAAAATCTATCCTTTGAATCCATCTTTCTCTCTTCTTCCACATCTAGTCACTAAAACAACTCTTCTTGTAAATTTCTTTTAATTCTATTTTTTTTCAGTCCATATCTAATCAGTCTTAGTTATTACCTTGCTTTTGAAGATGCATTTTTCAAGTAGTCTCCCAGCTTCTTTCTTCCATGTTCATTTCATTCTATATACTGCAACTAGAATGACATCTGATATTTCTTTGCAGATTAATTCTTTGCTTAAAATACCTCCATTTATTTCCACATTGTCAACAGGAAGAATTATTTAGAATTCAAGGCTTTGCAAACTTTCTTGGTACTTCTATCTATAAAATCTTCGCTTTAGGGAAACTCATATACCGAGTTAATATATGTAAAGCACTTAGAATCCTGCCTGGCCTGTGCTAATAACTGTTAAGTCTTACGTATTATTTGAATATGCTGTCTGAGTACGCATTTCTGACTCCAGAACACTAATTCCCTTTTCTTGTTTAAATACCAAATCTCCAAAGGAAGGAATAACTAAATCTATTAAAGATCAACAAGGATAATTGTTACTATTAGGAAAACTTAAATAATAATAAAAAAAACACTTTAAATGTCCTCTCCATAATTAACAAAACCTATAAAAATGAATCCTAATTTATCACAAAATCAAAATTCAGACTGGATAAGGTGGAAATAAAGGTAATAAGTATTTCTTTCATTCAAGAAACAGGAAATTTATGGAATGTTTTAGAGCAAAAGTAATTCTGAAAACAACATAAATGGATTCTAGATTAAGGCACTCTCCAATTTTGGCATATTATTAGAATAACTTAGGAACTTCAAAAATACAGTTGTCTCTGCTGGGGTTAGAGTGTTTTGTCTAATAGGCACTAAGTTTGATCCCTACTCATGCAAAAAGAAGAAGAAGAAGAAAAATAGTTGTCTGGACCCCATCCCACCCAGGTTTACTCAGATATTTGACTTTCTTTTTTTTTTTAAGCTTTATAGGTGATTCATGTGTACACTTTTAAAAGTATCAAAGGTGATTCTCATATACATCCACATATGACAATGACTGGTCTAATCAAAGGGAAACTTTGCTTTAAGAAGGTTGAACATGTTTGGTATATATTTTTCTCAATGTTCTTCTAAAATTTTTTTTGAAAATAGAATATCCAGAGAACTGAGTAACCCAGAATAACTTTTGTGTTTGAGTAGTGTTCTTAAAACAAGGCAAAATAAAAAATTGCAACCTTTTGATATAGGATTCAGAAAAATATATACATCTCAAACAGCAGAGTACTCATGTAAACACTTGTCTGTTTATCAGACTTATATCAACTTATAAATTTCAAAATAATTACGTAAATATATATTTAACTGTACACAATATTTACAACTTACAGATTTTCAACTCAAAAGTAAACACTTAAGCCTTAAAATGTATGAAAAAGTTGGCACTTTGTTATATAACACTTCAAAAATTTCAAAAGCAACTTTACCTCAAAAATACATTACACCAACCTTCCAAAGTGCTACTGTTCCTGGCTCATTTTATCTCAAAAATGGACACGAGTATCCAAATCTCTAGGAAAGGAGTAACAGATGTATTGTTATACTGAAAGCATTTTTACTGCTGAAAAAAACTTTACAATAGCTACAACAATAGTGGAGCAAGCCTATAGAATCCCAGCTACTCCGCAGGTTGAGGCAGGAGGATCTCCAAGTTCGAGGCCAGTCTGGGCAAGTCAGGGAGACCCTGTCTCAAATTTAAAAAAAAGGGGCTGGGGATGTGGCTCAAGCGGTAGCGCGCTCGCCTGGCATGCGTGCGGCCCGGGTTCGATCCTCAGCACCACATACAGACAAAGATGTTGTGTCCGCCAAATACTAAAAAGTAAATATTAAAAATAATAATAATAATAATTAAAAAAAAAAAAAAAAAAAAAAAAAAAAATTTAAAAAAAAGTGTGTGTGGGGGGGCAGGGAGCTGGGGCTGGGACTTAACTGTAGAGCTTCACCGGATCCAATTCCCAGTAAGGTAAGAAACAAACAACAAGAAACCTTATAACAAAGCCCCTTTCACCCTCCAATCCTGAGATAACAAATCCTGTAGTTCTCCCTCATCGTCGCTGTCAGCATTCTCCTCTTCCTTTTTTTGCAGTTCTTTTATAGTCAAAACCTCTTTAAGTTTATTTTTAATCTCATCCTGGCGATTCCGCAGCTTTTCCACCCGACGGTAACATTCTATCTGCTCATCAATCTCCCCAATCTGGCGGTCCAACCGTCCCTCCTCATCCTCTTCAGCGACTATAGCTTCGGAAATAGTGTTGACCTGCCTCATGGCTTTTTGAAATTCGTCCCACTCTTTGTCCATTTGATCCTTTGGAGCATCAACCTTTCGTACCTTTGCATCTACTTCAGGGTCGTCAAAAAATCCTTCTGGTAATGCTTCCGCGGTGTTTTCTCTCCTTTCCACCACTTTTTCATGTATTTCTGCTTTCTCAATTGACCCTGAATGAGGAATTAAGGGGGCCTTGGGAGGATTGGTATTAAAGGAATCGTTTGGTAGCACACTACTTGTTGCTTCCCGCGAGGAAGAAAGTGAGTGTTCTTTGCCGTGTGTGCTAGGCGGCAGCTTGCTATCTCCTCTTTTTCCTTCTCCGCCTCCCTCCTCTTCCTCCTCCTCCTCCTCCTCCTCCTCATCTTCATAATCAGGGAGTAAACCGAGTCCCGAAGGTTTACTGGGTGTCGATCTAGCGGACTCTTTTCCTGTTTTGTCAAAGTTGGTGGACAAAGCGGACGTGGAGGGCTGTACCTGAGGAACCGAGGCCTTCGCTCTCTTGGCGTCTTGATTATCCGCATCCGACGCTTTCCTCTTGACGGAAAGAGACGCAGCGTTTGCAGATGGACCCTGGGCGGCTCCCTTCGCGCCTTTCAGGTCGGCCACTTTCTCTCGGTGCTGCTTTCCCAAGACGTGAGTCTGCCACAGGAGCTCGCTCTTTACCGGGGTGTTACAAAGGGCACAGCTCAACTGCCCCAAGCGGTTGTACTTCGCGAACGGAGATTCTATCCTTTTCCGGTTAGTGCTCAGACGCTGCTTCTCCTTCATCAATCGTCTGAGTTCTTCTTGATTTACTACTCGCTTCCCGGCCGGAGGCCGAGCGGAGGCGGAGGACGCCATCTTTGCGACCAGATCCCTGGCGATTCTGGCTTCCGTCCCGGCGAGGCTTGATTGCGTCACTTCCTGATGGAGCGACGATTGGTCACAGCGCAGGAGAGGGCGTGGCGCCAGAATTTTACCTCAGAACTAGCACGAAGGCTGTTTTTCCCCCGCTCAACCGTTAGGCTATGGCAGCGATCAAGGCCATAAACTCCAAGGCTGAAGTGGCGCGGGCCCAGGCGGCCTTGGCTGTCAACATATGCGCCGCCCGAGGGCTGCAGGATGTGCTGAGGACCAACTTGGGTCCTAAGGGCACCATGAAAATGTGAGACGGCGGTTAGGGCACCAGGCGGTTTTGGGGTGATGGGACCTCCTCTGATGCATAAGTTCCGCGAAGACACTGGAGCGATCAACTTGTAGGCCTGGCTACCTTTTTGTCATTTCTGCCCTGAGAATATCTCTAGCCTGGTGGTCAGGAGGAGAAAAGCCTCCCCCGAGGAAAGAGCCCCCCGAGTGAAGCCGTGACACCCGCTCTCCCATTTTCGTTAAGGTTTCTGTGGGATTAGAAAGCCAGTTCATTTGTCTCATTGTAAATGGAAGGCGTTTAACACCTCTTTCTTCCTTCCTCGCGTGCTGGGGATCGAACCCAGAGCTTGGTGTACCTAGGCAAATCCTCTGTCACTGAGTTACATCTTCAGCCCCAACTCCTCTGCTTTTTAAAACTGTATGCCCTTAGTCTATAAATTCGACTCCACCCCCCCACTGCCAGCCCCTCTTCGTGGTGCAGGGGTCTTGTGCATGCTTGGCACAGGCTCTACCACAGAGCCAAATTTTTAGCCCCAGGACAGATAGTCTTTTTGCATGGCAAGCAATGTGTTGTCATGGAAAGGGTACAGGATTTGGAACCAGGCAGGCATAGGTTCAAATCCAAATATAATCTTCTAGCTCTGAGTACTTAGGCAAGTTCCTTGAATGCTCTGTGCCTATAATTGTTCATTATTTTAGTATTTATTTAGTACCATTTTTTTTTCTTTACACAAGTGGAAAAGAGACTGGTGAGAGCAAAAGGGTGTAAGAGAAACATCCTGACAGCAAGGAGAAAACTAATATTAATAGTAGAAGAAGGCACTTATGCACTAGATGCTGGGAAAACAGATGACAAAGATAGTTTTAGTTCTTAAGGAAATCTGGTAGAGACAGATGTGCTAATTATATATAGATGCATATGATTATACTGAGGAAAGGGACTAATTACTGATGGCAGAAGGAAAAGCCTCTCAAATAACAGATGATGGGGCTGGGGTTGTGGCTCAAGTGGTAGCGCAGTTTGCCTAGCATGCGTGAGGCACTGGGTTGGATTCTCAGCATCACATAAAAATAAAATAAAGGTATTGTGTCCACCTAAAACTAAAATAAATAAATATTTTAAAAAGATAACAGATGATGTTTGATCATAGTCTTGAAAGAAGAATGAGTTCACCAGTTGGAGAAGGAGTACAAGTCCTCCTAAGTAGAATAATTTCAGGAATAAGAAAGCCCAACAATGTAAACATAACAAACAAAACAAAAACAATTTAAGGGGAAGTAAAAGACTTGGTTTGTAGGTAGGTGGTAGATGAGGAAGAAAGATAGACAAGCCAGATTGGGAAAGGTCAAGTATGTCATTGCTAAATTAGTTTGGATTTTACCTTGAAGGTGATGGAGAACATACAAATTACTGAGGGATTTTTGAGTCACATTGCCTTTTAGAAAAATTAATGTATAGCATGGAAGGTAAATTCAAATTTGGAGGTAATCAGGATGCTGTTTAAGCAGTCCAGGGTAGAATGATAATGACAGTGGAAATGGGGAGTGGGGGTTATGACTCAGAGATATTTAGATCGTAGAATTGACAGAGCTTGGTGATCTAGCTTGGTGATGAATGAGGGGAACTAAGTTGAAGGAGTGAATGATTGATGACATTTACCAAAAATAAAAACCTGCAGGAAAGTTTGCAAACATGTGCTTTGTTTCTCATACTCTTTGACCCAAGTTTCTAAATCCTCAAGTACTCTCCGAATATTCCATTTGGTCTGAATTCACCATAAGTTCATCTTGGGAGAAAGGATCCTGTGAGCAGCAAGTGGTGATAGTTACTGTGGTATTCCCCCATGGCATAATGGAGTTTTCAAAGCCCTGTTTCCTTTATTAAGGAAAGTGGAACGACAAGTACTGGGAATGTCGTGTTTGACTCTTGACATGTGAAGTTAATATTATTACTGTTCTTTGAACAGGCTTGTTTCTGGTGCCGGTGACATCAAACTCACCAAAGATGGCAATGTACTGCTTCATGAGATGGTGAGCTGATGCTGTTGACTTTAACAAACCTTAATAAGCCTTAAGTAAGAACATGGTACAATTTGTATACATTTAAGCCAAGGCTGTCAGCTAAATATTGCAGTCTTGAGGTATGCCTGTTGGATTAAACCTCAATAATTTTTTTTTTGCTGTTTCAAACAATAACTTAGGGATATTTACAAATTAATAACAAACTTAAGGCACTGTGTTATATTCTTTGTAATCATGGAAGAATAAAAATTCCTTTGCAATTTTCATAAATATTCATCTTTGAGATTGAAGGATTTAATCTTCTTTTGTAAATATCATTGCATTCTGAAAAAAGGAGTGTTCAAACCTCATTAGTTCTCAATTTTTAAATTTTGGACTTGACATTTACAAAGTATTTGATAATATAAAACTTGTAAACTTGTAGGATCAAGCTTATTTCTTAATAATACTGTTGACCCTTAGGTTATCTTTTTGTGGCCTTCTCTATCTCATTCCCCTTTCTTTTTAAATCTGTTGCTTACTTTTTCCAGCAAATTCAACACCCAACAGCTTCCTTGATAGCAAAAGTTGCAACAGCACAGGATGACATCACAGGAGATGGTACTACTTCAAATGTTCTAATTATTGGAGAGTTATTAAAACAAGCTGATCTTTACATTTCTGAGGTATTACTATTTCACAGAATTCATATTTTGAATGAAGTTTATAAAAAATAAAATGGTTTAATTTTAGAGAGGGTACAGGTTAATTTTAATTAAGATATTCTTGGATATTTATAAATGGAAATAGCAATGAACTTCACCCCCCCAATAAATAAATGCCTTTTATTGGAATAATATGCCTCTTTTAAAAATGAAATGGTTAAGATCTATAGAAAGATAAAAAAAATTACCCATGTACCCAAGAGTAATGGCTTAAGAAAGAAAATGCCACTAATAAAAGTTGAAAACAAATTACACACCTTTAAAAAAATAACTGGAGGGAAAACCTTATTGAAAGTTTCCCATCTTGTGAATTTACCTACCTTTTTAGATTTATTTTCCTTTATAAACCATCTATTCAGATTCCTCCATTAACTAGCCTCAGAAACATCATGCACATTTCTAGCTCTGTGTCTTTGTTTGATCTCTATTCTTTTCTTAGTATTACCTACCTGTTTCCTATAATTATTTGAATTTTTTCTCTTATTCAGAGACCATTCAGCAAAGCATTACCCGGTTAAAGTGCTGAAATTATTGCTTCTTTGTGTTTTATTCAGTATTGAAAATTGTCTATTAATTCAGTACCTGCAACTTATCTCAGTTAGGATGCTTTGGCCTGTAAGCAGTAGAAATTGACTAAAACTCACTTAAACAATGAAGAAATTATTAAGCTCCCATAAGAACATTAAGAGATAAGATTGGATCCAAGTTGAATTGATTAAAAAGTTTATTCAGTCATCAAGAACCTGGGACCTTTCTGTCTCTTAGCTCTTCCATTCATGGTACTGTTTCATCCTAAGGCTTGTTTTTATCTTGAGTGTAAGACTGTCAAAGGAAATCAGGGTTACTTGCTTCTTGGTAATACTCAGTAGGGGACACAACTTCTTTTTTTGTGGTTGGGCCAACTTTAGTCTTATGCTCATTCTAAACCAATAACCATTTTAAGGGGAATTGACTTAAATTAATCAGGATCCACTCCTTGACCTGGGAAGAGGGACACCCAAACAATATAAGGTTTGGTTTATTTTGAGAGATTGGTAGGTAATGACATAATAATGAAACTGGCAGATGGTGATAGAGCTAGGCACAGGATATGGCAGAAACACTAAGGAGGAAAGGAGTTCCTAAACTAAACTGTTGTAGTCAGAAAGCAACTCACTGCAGGAAGTAAGTCCTGAGCTAAATTTTCAGGATGGAATGAGCCAGATGAAAGAGTGAGGAGCAAGGAGAATGGCATTCCAGAGAGAAGGAACAACATAGTGTTTTATAGAGCAGCAAGCAGTTTGGTGTTGCTGGAGTTTATAATGATTTGGATGGTAGCAGAGAAGAGGCTGGAGGAGGTGGGAGCCAGATCACAGAGGGTGTGTGGTACGTTAACCAGGAAACTTGCACTTTATTCTGTGTTGAATAGACTAAACATGTCAACATAGTAACATCTGATGTGGTCATATTGGCATTTTAAATGTTTGGGGACAATTTTAAGGGAGTCATGACAAGAGAGGTTCTAGTAGTCCAGATGAGCAATTGTGATGTCCTGGACTGAGGAAATTTTTGAAAATGGTAATAGCGAGACTCTAGAGTCACGTCTCTTGGGTTTAAATCCTGGCTCCACTTTTATAAAAAAATGTTTATTGGTACACTGTAGTTTTACATGTTAGTGGGATTTGCTATTATATATTCATTCACACATGCATACACGTAATTTGGTCAATTTCATTCCTTGGTACATTGCTCCACTTAACTAGTTTGCTAATCTAAGGCAAATTACATTATTCCCTTAAAATTTGGTCACTCACCTGTGTATAGTGGGAGTAATAAATATCCACTTCATACTGTTGTTGAGAGGGTTAAACTAATTCATGTAAAGCTCTTAGATAGTGCCCAGCACAAATGTTCAATTAAATGTCAACTTTTAAATATTATAGGAGTGACATAAAGGAATGGTGGGAATAAATTAGAAATTGTACCAGCCTTCACAAAATTTGTTAACTATTATTTTAAAAAAATATTTTTGTTATAGATGGACGCAATACTTTTATTTATTTATTTATTTATTTATTTATTTATTTTATATGTGGTGCTGAGGATCAAATCTGGTGCCTTACACATGCTATAGGCAGGTGTTCTACTACTGAGCTGCAACCCCAGCCCCTATTTATTATTTTTCAGAGTAAATAATACTGTTTAAAATTGTTTTGTCAGAATTTCAGATCTACAGAAAAGTTGCAAGAATGTTAACAAAGAATTCCTATATATGTTTTACCCATATTCTCCAATTTTTATAATTTCTCCATTCTTGGCCTTGCTCTGAGATATAATATATATATAACACACACACATATATATAATATATAATTTTGTATATATAATTATATATAACATTATAATAGAGGAAATCATATATATCACTGTACATATCATACATATCATATTGTACTATATATCAGAGGAAATAATATATATCATTGTATGTATCTTTTTCTAAATGATTTGAGAGTAAGCTTCAGATATGATCTATTTCAGAATTAGTCGGTGTACATTTTTATAATCAAGGATTCTCATATATAACCACAGTGTAATTATATAAAACAGGAAATTAATATTAACATTGACTCATTCAAGTAGTACTATTATCTAATCTGCAGATTTTATTCAAATTTCACCACTGCTTCCAATAGTGACCTTTATAGAAAAAGAAAATCTAGGATCATGCATTGCATTCGGTTGTCATGTTCCTTTAGTCTCTTGTAAGCTGAGATAATTCTTGAGCTTCCTTTTATGCTTCATGACATTGCTACTTTTAAGGACTATAGGCCAGTTATTTTATACAAAGTCCCTTAATTGGATTTGTCTCTTTCCTCACAATTATACTCAGGTTATTAATTTTTGGCAGGAAAATCACAGAAGTACTGTTGTGCTCTTCTGAATGCATCCTATCAGAAGGCGCATGATGTCTATCATTACTGTGATGTTAACTTTGATCACTGGGTGAAGGTGTTGTTTAGCACTTTTTTCTAAATGCTTAGCATTAAAAGGAGCCTTTTTTGTTGTTGCTGTTGTTGGAGCTCATTTAGAAGGGCACCACATGACAATGTAGTCATAATTTTTGGAAACAGAGCAACTTTTATCTTTTATAAATTGCTCATTTACGTTTAGTGGCATTAATGTGGCTAACATTACTTTTTTGGAATATATTAATAGGAGAGGATAGTTACTTTTGACTTTCAATGATTTACTTCATAATTTTAAATTTCATATTGATATAATAGGGCCTGCACCCTAGAATAATAGCAGAAGGATTTGAAGCTGCAAAGATAAAAGCACTTGATGTTTTGGAGGAAGTTAAAGTAAAAAAGGAGATGAAAAGAGAAATCCTCTTAGATGTGGCTAGAACATCTCTACGGACGAAAGTTCATGCAGAACTGGCTGATGTGTTAACAGAGGTATGTGATTAAAATTTTTGTATTGAGAATGAGTATAGCCTAACACATGATGATATTTTCTTTTTCCTAGAAGACAGCCAAGATTTGCATGTGATTCTTTTGAATGTACAACAAAATAAGGAGATAAACACTTACAGGCTTATGTATAGACATTAATTGGTCAGAATAGTATTTGTAGTTTTCCAAAAGTGTCATATTAACACTTATGTGACTTGAAAGTTGGAGGGAGTTGGCCTCCTGTAGATTATCTCCTATGGGTAGTATACTAGTCTAAACCTAGAGGTCCATATTTTGTTATAGAGTGATACATGAGGAAGTTGTTTTTGCAGTGTGCCTTGTAGTTAAGTTTACTACTTTTACGAAGCATGATTGAGCTGATATATAATATTCACATTTGGGAAATGTGTGTTTGTTTTCTTTTCTTCTAAAGGAGGAGCATATGTAATATACAGACAAGATTGGTTGGATATTTTAAGAAGGCTTTTATCAGGTGGTTATCATTTGATGACATCATTATTGTTCTCCAGCTTTGCAATTTCTAAAACTTGACCGTATTAAATGTATCAGAAATGATGAATTCATAGTAACCAAACTCATATTTATATCTCTAAAAGAAAATGGTGCTTCTGCACAGCAAAGGAAATACAAAGCAGAATGCTATCTTACTAATTTGAGAAATACAAATGCCAAATGGACTGAAACACCTGAGTTGCCTCTGCTTAATTCTCCTTCCCAATAAGAAAAGTATGGGAAATTGGATTAAAATCAGACAATTTCTTGCTGAGCAGAGTCAGAAGCAGCAGCTACATTTTCTGCTGTTGGAACACTCAAGTGGTTCAAGATCTCTGCTATTTAGGGCAGTCATTTTCTTTCTTTCTTTCTTTTTTCCTCTTTCCACATTTTTTATTGGTGCATTATAGTTGTATATAATGATGGAATTTATTGTTACATATTCGTACATGCACACAATATAATGATATAATTGGCCAATATCACTCCCCAGCACTTCTTCCTTCCTCCTTTCCTCCCACCTTCCTCTCATCCCTTCTTCCCTTTCCTCTATTGATCTCCCTTTGATTTTCATGAGATCCCTGCCCCCATCTTTTTCTTTTTCCTCTCTAGCTTCCACATATGAGAGAAAACATGATCCTTGACTTCAGTTTAACCTATGTTGCTTTATGAAACAGTGTCTAGTTTCATTCATTTTCCTGCAAATGATATAATTTCATTTTTCTTTATGGCTGAATAAAACTCCATTAGTATATTTCCACATTTTCTTTATTCATACATCTGTTGATGGACACTGTAGCTGTTGTGAATTGTGCTGCTCTACACATGGGTATGCATGTCTCACTATAGTATGCTGACTTTAATTCTTTAGGATAAATACCAAGGAGTGTATAGTTGGGTCATGTGGTATTTCCATGCCTAGTTTTTTTGAGGAAACTCCATATTGATTTTCATAGTGATTGTACTAATTTACAATCCCATTAACAGTGGAAAAGTGTTCATTTGTCTCCACATCCTCTCCTTCATTTATTATTATTTGTATTCTTGATGACTGCCATTCTGACTGGCAAAAGATGAAATCTCAGTGGAGTTTTGATTTCCATTTCCCTAATTGCTAATGATGTTGAACATTTTTTCATATATTTGTTGATCATTTGTATTTCTTCTTTTGAGAAGTGTTTGTTTAATTCATTTACCCTTTTATTAATTGGGTTATTTTGGGGGGAGATTGTTAAGTTTTTGAGTTTTTAAATATATTCTAGGGCTAGGGATGTGGCTCAAGGGGTGGCGCACTCGCCTGGCATGCGCGGGGTGCTGAGTTTGATCCTCAACACCACATAAAAATAAAATAAAGATATTGTGTCCACCTCAAACTAAAAAATAAATGTTTTAAAAATAAATATATTCTAGATATTAATTCTCTGTCAGAAGAGTAGCTAGCAGAGATTTTCAGTCATTCTAGAAGTTCTCTCTTCTCATTCTTAATAGTTTCCTTTGCTGTGCAGAAGCACCATTTTCTTTTGGAGATATAAAACCACTTATGTTCTTACTACCCAGTGACAACTTTGTCTTATTCTCTAGTAAGTGCCACAATTAAGTATTATGTTACTGCAGGTAAAATCTTCTAAGATATAGTGGGTTTTTTGTTTTATTTTAGGGTGGTTATACCTTAGCTCTTAATTTTCATAATCAGTTTTTTTTTTCATATTATTTCTGAGCTAACCATAATATATGTTGTGTTCTGGAGCCGGGGTTGTGGCTGAGTGGTAGAGTGCTTGCCTAGCACGTGTGAGGCCCTGGGTTCTATCCTCAGCAGCACATAAAAATAAAGTAAAGGTATTGTGTCCAGCTACAACTAAAAAAATAAATATTTTTTTAAAAAGATATGTTGTGTTCTGCTTTTAAAATTGCACAGCCCTGGGGAAATATAGCAAAATAAATGAGACAAGTTTTCCTGGCATGTCAATTTTACTTTACCATTTGGGTGGAAGCATTATTTTCACATTGAAATAAATGTGTGGCATGACCTGGAAACTTTTCATGGAAAAACATGAGACTGAAAAATGACATGTTATTATAGGCAGCAAATTTGAGCTCTTAGATTGTATTTCCTCCTTTTCTATTAAGGTACCCTTTGGTGGAAGAGGTTATATAGTGTTAGTGAGGCAGAAATAGCAGTGGCTTGACATTAACAGAGACCTGAATTCTAGTCCTGGCTCTGCTATCAGATCTTATTTTAAAACTGTAATCTCTTAGGTTCTCTCAGTTTCCTTATCTATGTAATAAAGGATTTGGACCTGATGATCTCTGTAGTTCCTTTAGACTCTAAAGTATCCATGCATATTATTTTTTTGTCAGTGTCTACAATAAAATGCTATTTGTTGGCTTTGCCTTATATTTTGAAACCTGAAGCCCTTTCTGTATTTGGTGATTGATTATGGGGGCCAGGGTTTTTTTTTTTTTTTTAATAGTCCAAATAATCAACTATCCTCATTCACTTCTCTTTCAGGCTGTGGTGGATTCCGTATTGGCTGTTAGAAGACCAGGTTACCCTATTGATCTCTTCATGGTGGAAATAGTGGAGATGAAGCATAAAGCAGGAACAGATACACAGTAAATTTTGACGATACATAGGTTTAGAATATTTGGTTTTCTTCAAATGTTCTTTCATTAATTTCACTAGTTGTTTTACCTCAACATTAGTCTATTCATTCAACATGCATTAACTAGTTCATGCCTTTCACTACCATGAGCCAGTTACTTTTTACTTTGAAAATTATTTTGAAGAAGTCTGGTTATTCGTCTTGCACATTTTTTGTGGAAAGAGTCTTGATTATTCATGTAGTTTTTTTGGGACAAGTTAGGTTTTTATACTTCTTTTTGAACCACTTTATTAAGTAATATTTTTTCCAGGAATTCATCCATTTTGTCTAAGTCTTTAAATATTTGACATAAATGTTCATAAAATCCTATTTGCAAGATCTATAGTGATATCCTTATTTTTCCTGGTGTTGTTTTATTTTTCCTTTTCGATAATTTTTTTCCAGGGATTGGTTTGGGTTTTGCTTCATAGTATCTTTCACCTTATTATTTAATTTCTTTTACTTTTTTGGAGATATTTTCTTCTTCTATACTATGTATTTTTTTCCTCCCTGCCCCTTCTTTCTTTCTTTCTTTTTTTTTTTTTGAGACAGTGTCTCACTATGTTTTCCAGTCTGGTCCAGAACTCCTGGGCTCAGTAATTTCTTCTGCCTCATCCTCCTGAGTAGCTGGGACTTCAGGTGCTTGCCACTGCACCCAATAGATAGCTACTTAGGTTATTAATTTTCAGCTTTCTATTCTTATAATGTAGTATTTAAGGTGTTAAATTGTCCTGAAAGTATTACTTAGCTGCATTCCTTAAATTTTGATATGTGGTTTTATAATTTTTATTCTGTTTAAAATATTTTCTAATGTCCATGAGGGGTGTGTGTGTGTGTGTGTGTGTGTGTGTGTGTTTCAGTATTGGGGATTGAACACAGGGCTTTGCATGTGCTCTACCACTGAGCTACATTTCCAACCTTCTTTTTAATTTGATTTGGAGATAGGGTCTCATAAAGTTGCTTAGACTGACCTCAAATTCTCTATCCTCCTGCCTCAGCCTCTTGAGTAGCTGGGATTACAGGCATGAACTATTGCATCTGGCACTGTGATTCTTAATTTCAAAATATTAGGGACATTTTTTGGTTTTTTTATTGATTTCTAGATTAACTATATTATGGTCAGAAACTATGTTCTATGAGATTTCACTGCTTTTTGGGGGGCAGGGGTACTAAGGATTGAACTCAGGGGCACTCAACCACTGAGCCACATCCCCAGCCCTATTTTGTATTTTATTTAGAGACAGGGTCTCACTGAGTTGCTAAGCACCTCACTGTTGCTGAAGCTGGCTTTGAACTGTCTATCCTCCTGTTTCAGCCTCCCGAGCTGCTGGGATTACAAGCATTTGCCACTCACCAATTTCATTGCTTTGAAATTTGTTTGACTATGCATTATGGCTGAGTGTATAGATAGTCAATTTTTGTTAATGTTACATGTACTTGAAAAAAATGTATGCTGCAGTTGTTAGGTACAAGTTTATATATGTCCAGTTAGATCAAGGGCATCAAGTTTGTTAATACTTTCATTTAGACCTTCTTATCCTTATTGGTATTTATCTGCTTATTCTGTCAATTACTGAAAGACATATGTTAGTATCTTTCAATGTTACTGTAGATTTGTATTTTTAGTTTTTTAAAATTTTTTAGTTGTTGTAGAGGGAGACAATATCTTATGTTTTTATTTTTATGTGGTGCTGAGGATTAAAACCAATGCCTCACACATGCTAGGCAAGCTCTCTACCACCGAGCTACAACCCCAACCCTGTATTTTTAGTTTTGACAGTTTTGCTTTATATATTTTGAGACTTGGCTTGGCTTGGGAATGTCACTCAGTAGTATAATACTTGCCTAGTATGTGTGAGGCCCTGGGTTTCATCCCTGGCCAAAAGAACCAAACCAAACCAAAACAAAAGACTGTCTTATTAAATGCATACAGTTTTTAAAGCATTATATTTTTGCAGTGCATTGAACATTTTTAACAGTATGAAGTGACCATCTTCTCTCTAGTAATGGCTTAAAAGTGTAATTTATCTGATATTGATATAGCTGTCACACCAGCTTTTTTTAAATTAGTATTTGCCTGTTATTTTTTAATGTTTTACTTTTAATCTTTCTCTGTTATATTCTACTTGATTTTTTACAATTTTTACTTCTTATAATGATGTGATATAATACAGTGTCTACATGATGAGATGAAGAGAAATGAATGATTTAGGCATTGTGATGTCGTGTTAAGCTACATATAAGCTACTATACCTTCTGATGATACTTAAGAAGGAGGATCATCTTCTTCTGGTAGATCACAGAGCCATGACAATGTCAATGGTCAGTGATCCTTGACAACTAAAAGAACTTTTGCTGAAATTTTTTGGAAGAACATTATAATCAAAAGTTGTTGTTTCTTTCTCATCAAGGTGTTGCTGCAGAAGCTAATACTTCAGTGACCATATAAGTAGCTTTAATGTTGCATTCCAGCTGAGGACTGTATTCCATAATTTTGTCCTTTAATGTCTGTGCCATTTAACACACTGGCAAATTTGGGTAATGTCCACATTGGTGATTCTGCTTCCCTTTCTTCTCCTCCTCCTCCTTCCTCCTCTACTTTCTCTTCCTCACCCTCATCACCCTCCTCTTCCTCTTCACTTCTTCCTCTTCCTCTTTTTCCTCCACTTTCTCCTTCTCATTGTCCAGGCTGGTCTCAAATTTTTGGACTTAAGTGATCCTCCTGCCTCATCCTCCTCAGTAGCTGAAACTACAGGCATGGCCACCACATCTGACTTAGCTTCTTTGTCTTCCTCTTTCTTTGTAGATGACTCAACAATCATCTAATCCCTCATTTGTTAATGCTAAACAGTGGTTGACAGCAGGTAACTGAGGCCATGGGTAATTGAAACTGAGGAAAGTGAAACTTCAGACAAGGGGACTACTGTACTTTACTTCTGCTTAAAGTTCATTCTGTATAGATTTCCTTTAGTGAAAGTTTGCTGGAGGCATATTGTTGTTTGTTTGTTTTTTTTTTTTTCCAGAAAATGCCTTTATTTCATCTTCATTCTTTGTATTTTACTTTTTTGTATATCGAACTAGATTCACAGGTACAGATGGTCCCTAACAGTTCAATTTATGATTTTTTAAATTTACAATGCTGTGAAAGTGATATGAATTCGGTAGTAACTATACTTTGAATTTTGATTTTTTCCTAGTAATCTGTGGTGTGATACCCTCTGCCATTGCTGGGCAGTGAAAGTAGCCACAGCTCCCCACCAGTGAACATTTAGGAGAGTAAAGGACAGATACTTTACAGTGTACTGTGGAGTAAACTATGATGTTGAGAAGGTTGGGAAAAGTAAATGTCATTTTTGTCTTACAATGATTTCAACTTTGATGATTTTATTGAGATAAAACTTTGTTGTAAGTTGAGGAGCATTTTCTTTGAGCTGATTGAAGGATTGTTATGCTGTATTCTGACTTCCATGATTGTTCTTAAGAAATTAGCTGTTTTTAATGAAATTTTTAATTGCCTAGATGATATAGACATATTTCTCTTTGGTATTCTACACTTTTACTATGATGTGTAGAATTTCTTTTTGTTTATTCTGCTTGGTATTTTCTGGGCTTCTTGAGTTTATGAATTGATGTATTTTATTTGGTTCACATCCATTACCTCCTGAAATATTTATTCTGCCCTGTTACCTGTTATTTTTCTTCAGTTAAACATATGCTTGATGTTCTTACTCTGTCTTCCATTTACTTTCTCTCTTTTGTGTTACATTACATACCCAGTATTTGGCTAATCTGTAGTTATTTATTTTGTAGTGACTTATTCAATTATTTTCTGTTGAGCAGTGGCTAATCTTTAAATCAATCTTTTGATTAGGAGAAATTTTAGATGAAGTATAGTCACTGAAAAGTAACACAATGAAGAGTGTTCCCACCATAATGGTATAGCTTGATGAATTTTCTAATATATCTGTATAATTAGCATTCATAAAAGAAACAGATCTCCAAGAACCTTCCCTTGGTATGTTCCCTTTCAGCCTTTATTTGTCAAGACTAACCTGAATTTCTATGACATAGATTAATATTACTTGTTTTATACTTGTCTAAGGGGAATCATAAAGCAGGTGCTTTTTTGATTCTGACTTTTTTTTTTAATTTGGTATTGTTTTCACTCATCTGAACTGTTCCATGTATAGTAGATCATTCATTCTCATTTCCTCTGTAGTATTTTATTGTTACTCTTGCAATCCATTCACTCTGCTAATGATGAGAAGTTAGGTAGCTTTCAATTTTGACCTTTATGAGTAGTGCTTCTGAAAACATTATAACATCCTTTTGTTAGACATATGGATGCATGTCTGTTGAGAGCCACAGCTGAAGGGGCCCCAGCAAACTTCCAGCTGCCAGCTGATTGGCTCCTCTGCATGATGCTCATTGGGCTGTTTCCCCGCCCTTTCAGACCACGGAGCTGCTCACTGGGGGACTCTTTTGGCTCCGCCCCTCCCACCCAGTCAATCGGCCTCAAGAGCAGGAGGAGTGTGTGTGTGTGTGTGTGGGGGGGGGGGGGTTGAGTGGCTTGTGGGAAGCTGGTGGTGGCAGTTGGGCTCTGAGGGAATTCCTGAAGAGCTCATGTGGTGCGGTGTATGTGTTCTAAAAATAAAGTTCATTTCTGCTTGATAAGTGGCTGGTGAATTGTGCCCAGCCAGACTGCAGCACATGTCTGTTGCTCCCTTGGAAAAAAAAAAAAAAAGTTTTGTTTTGTTTTTTTTTGAGCCGAGGTCTCGCTTTGTTGCCCAGGCTAATCTTGAACTCATGAACTGAAGTGATCCTCCAGCTTGCGCTTTCTGAGTGTTGGAATTGTAGGCATGTGCCACTGTGCCCATCTTGTTTGTAAAAAATTTAACGGTGGTGTATACATGTGTGTATTTCTTTATGTACTTACTTATAGAAGTTATATTTTGTTCTTCCTTGAATCTGCTTGTCACTTATGATTTTCTGTTCCCTGCGGATCTTTCCAAAATTACCTTTAAATAAACTCTTTAAAGCATAGAATTTATATCTGATAATATCTTAAATTTTGGCTTGTTTCAGGTGTTAATTATATTTTTCTAGTTCTTGCTCATCATGCTTTGTTTCCATATGTGCCATTCATTGCGCTTGAAAGAAGTATTTGTAAAAATAATTTCAGAGGCTGGGAGCAGTGGTGCATGCTTTTAATCCCAGCAGCTGGAAGGGTGAGACAGGAGGATCTCGGGTTCAAAGCCAGCCTCAGCAATGGCGAGGCACTAAGCAAGTCAGTGAGACTCTGTCTCTAAATAAAATACAAAACAGGGCTGGGGATGATGCTCAATGGTTGAGTGCCACTGAGTTCAATGCCCAGTACCAAAAAAAAAAAGAAAGAAAGAATTTGAGACCTAGGATGAAGGTGCCTTTCTGGAGAGAGGATTTGCATTCACTTATGTTGGGAGCCCAGGGACTACTTAAAATTTAAAGCTTGAGACTTTTTTGGCATATTCATTTGATATGAATTCTTAATGCCAGTTCATGTGAGGACTGATTATTTCTAGCTCATCCTTCTGTATGACCCTGAGTATGTAGCCTTTTGGGATCTAAGCTCAATGTGAAGATCTCCTATTAGACTCACCACTTTGGATGATCACTGGGCTTTTAATTTTGTCCCATTTCATTGTGAAGTTATTGGAACTAAAGTTTATATTTGTCTGGCATGTCAAATAACTTTAGAATAAAAATACCTGCAGTTCCTGTTTTGTTTTTAGTTTTGGTCTTGTAATCTACTATCTTGTACATGTTCAGTGTTGTTAAGTTTTGGTTTGTAATACAGCATTATTTAGTTTTTGGTCATAGGGTTGGTCCAAATTAGCCTACTGTTACTGAAGATAGCAAGTTCTTGATTTATATTTCAGAAGGATATCTGTAGTTGTTTTGTGTGGAGAATACACTTTAGAGCAAGTTGGAAGGTGGGGGAGGGGAAGAAACAGGAGAGCAATTAGGAATTTGTTAATATAGTTCAGGTTAAAAATGAAAATGGTTTAGTTCAGGGCATATTTTAGAAGGAAGAGGCAGTAGGATTTGGCAATGGTTCTGCGTAAAATGAGATAGAAATAAAAGTCAAGGGGTTTTTGCATGATCAGCTGGAAAAGTAGATACACTGTATCTTGCGATGGAGAAGAGTGAGAGGAACAAGTTTGGGGAAATAAATGAGTTCATTTTGGGGAATGTTATGTTTGAGATGCCTGTAAGTATCCTGTGGAGATGTTGAGTAGGCAGTTGGTGTGATGTTTGGAGTTCAGGATTGGACTGGAAATATGTATTTGAGAATCATCAATATATAGATGACTTAAAGCCATGAGAGTAAATGAGATCACCTGGGAGGTGAATAAAAATAGAGAAAAGAGGAAGTTTAAAGATTGAGGCTTGGGAATTCTAATGCCCAGAGTTTGAAAAGATGAAGATTCATAAAGGAAGCTGAGAAGCAGTGGTCACTGAAGTGGGATACCCAAGAGAGTAGTGCCCCAGAAACCAAAAGCAGAAGGTATGTTAAGGAGAGAAAAAGCAGCTTTGTTGTATGTTGCTGAAAGTTTAAGTATATTGTTATAAACTGAAAATTTATTGTTATATTTGGAAAACAGTTTTTGGTTTCTTTAATGAGAGCTGCTTCTAAAGAGGTAGAGATGAAAGTCATATTGAAGGTGAGCTCGAGAGAGAAGAGTTTGGAAGAAGTGGAAATGCAAATGTGGACCAACCAGAGGAGTTTAGCTTCAAAGTGGAGCAAAGAAATAGAAGAAAATACTGGAATGGAGCTCATGGAGAAGTTTTTGTTTTGTTTTTAAAAAACAAAAAAATGATGGGCTCTATCATAGCAAATTTGTATGCTGATAAGGATGTTCTGATAGGAAAGAAGAATTGATATAGGAGACAATGCCGGAACAAAGAGGGGAATAGAGTTCAATAAATAAGCAGAGAGATTAACCTTACAGAGGAGGATGAATACTTCATTCATAGCAGTAGGATTGCTAAAGGTAGTGATGGGACAATGTTTCTGTTTTCTCAAAGAAACAAGGTCACTTGATGAGAGTGATGAGACAGGAAGCATGAAGGAGGCTTAGAAAGTGGAGAACATTGAATGTTTAGTTTCTTCCTAAATAAAACATCTTCTCACTCAGGAGTTGTAGTAATCTAGTTGTATTAAACATTTGAAAACTTCCTTATAAGTACGTTGAATTATTTAAAAATAATTTCTTTAAGGTGTGACAAATATTGGTTTTCTAAAAGATTCTTAAGTAGAAATGCTATCCCCTAAGTGTGTGTAAATCAGTTTTACAAGTTATAAAAATGTGTACTTTAGAAAGAATATTTGGCAAACAGAAAAAAAGTGCCCCACTAAATTCCTACCATGAAAGCCTAGGGGGTTATATTTTTCCTTTTTAATGTCAAGATCCTTATTTCTTTATAAGTATAGTTACACTCATGCTTTAAATGCAAATTGTCATTCAGTGATTATCAACTATCTTGTAAATATTTTTCCACCTTATTATTATTTTGGTGCTGGGGATTGAATCTATGGGTCCTTTACCACCGAGCTACATCCCCAGCCATTTTTAAGTTTTTATTTTGAGATAGGTTCTCTCTGTGTTGCCCAAGCTGGCCTCAAACTTGGGATCCTCCTGCTTCAGCCTCCTGAGTTACTGGGATTAAGGTGTGCATCACTATGCCCAACTCTGTTACATAGTATTTGTGACCATCAAATAGTTGGGTCATTGCTGAGCAATATCCTATTGTTAGATATTTAGGTTAACAGTTTTAGTTGTTTCATGTAATTATCTTGAACAGATTTTTCCTAAGAGCTTCATTTTATACCTTCCTTTCATTACTTGATCAGTGGTATCATGTTTTTGAGCTGTAGAACTTAGAGAATAATTCTGGTTTGACTTTTCATTGTGAGTTCACAGTCATACTATGTTAAAATAGATTCTCTTTTCTGATTTTACTAATTATATGTTAGATTTTGAAGTTTTCACAAAGAAACAATGTGTGCCTTGGCTGTTTTGTATTTAAATTTGAGTATAATTTATGTCAAATTTTAGAGCGTATATTCAAAGTAAGAAACTGCATGTTTTAATAGGTTGATCCGAGGATTAGTTTTGGATCATGGTGCCCGTCATCCAGATATGAAAAAGCAAGTAAGAGATGCATTTATTCTTACTTGCAATGTGTCACTAGAATATGAAAAAACGTAAGTGATAATTTCTCTTTATAAATTTTTAAACTGTTTTTTCTAAAAGTGTTTTAAAATCTCTTCCCTCCCAGATTTCTTCTGTTTCCTTCTTTCCCTCTGTCTTTATCTTGTTTTTATTAATCTTTTAGAGAGGTGAACTCTGGTTTCTTTTACAAGACTGCAGAAGAGAAAGAGAAATTGGTAAAAGCTGAAAGGAAATTTATTGAAGATAGAGTACAAAAAATAATAGACCTCAAAGAGAAAGTCTGTTCTGAGACCAATAAAGGATTTGTTGTCATTAATCAAAAGGTGAGGAAAAAAAAACATTTAGATTTTAATTATTTGTAAGTTTTTTTCAGTATTTCTCAAAGTGTGCTTTATGGACCCTGAGGGTTCCAAGGACCCTTACAGGGACTCAGATGTTAAAACTATTTTTATATTAATAATCCTTTCACATTGTGTTGACATTTGCAATGCTGGTGCAAAAGCAATGGTAGATAAAACTGCCAGCACCTTAGTACAAATGAAGGCAGCAGCTCCAACCATCCTGGCAGTCCTCATCGTCTTTATGCCACACCACCACACACTTGCAGAAAAAAGAAAGGCAGTTTCATTTATGAATGTTTTGATCAAACGGTAACACTAGTAAGTTTTATTAAATTTTGATCCTTAATGCATTCTTTTATAAATCTTGAGTGATAAAATATGAAATACACAAAGAGAACTTCTACTAAAATACCAAAATGGGATGGCTGTCTTGAAGGAAACCCTTGAATGATTGATCTGTGAGCTAAACTAGTTACTTTTATTCATTTTTAGCTTGAAAGAATGACTGATTGACAAACTATATATTATTTAGATTTGGGTATTTGGAAGATTTTTCTGAGAAATGAATGAAGCAATTCTATCACTTCAAGGAAAATACCTGACAGTGTTTGTTGCCAGTGGTAACATATGAGTCTAATGTAGTTAAGTATCCTGTATATAATCAATATATTTTTTTAATATTTATTTTATAGTTGGACACAATACCTTTATTTCACTCATTCATTTTTTTACGTAGTACTGAGGATCGAACCCAGGGTCCCGCGCACACGAGACGAGTGCTCTACCGCTGAGCCACAACCCCAGCCCCAAGTTAATCAATATTTAATAAATGACTAAACATGCAGGATTTTTCAAAATAACACATAGATAAATAATGCATTTTAAAGTATAAGACCAATGTTTGAGCATAGTGATGCAGGCCTGTAATTCCAGTGACTTAAGAGGCTTGAGGCAGAAGGATTGCAAATTTGAGGCCAGCCTTGGCAACATAGTGAGACTGTGTCTCAAAATAAAAATTAAAAAGATTGGGGATGTAGCTTTGAGGGAGAACACCTGTGGGTTCAATCTCCCATATCAAAGCAGAGAGAAACTCAACTCACCAGATAAGAAATATGTACCTCAAAAGAAGACCCCCAATGACCCACTTCCTCTAGTCACACTCTACCTGCGTTCACTTAAACCACTTAGTTAATCCCCTAATCAATTCAGCTCTAAACACTTGCATTGTGTCATATGTGAGCTTTTGGGGGATATCTCACATCTAAACCATAACATATACAGTATCAGAGAAGAATACCTAGTTGTCTGAAAAGGCTTTTAGGGATTGAACCCAAGGGCATGTAAGTACTGAGCCATATTCCCACCCCCATCCCCTTTTATTGATTGATTGATTGATTGAGACAAGGTCTCACTAAGTTGCTTAGAGCCTCACTAAATTACTTAGGGCCTCACTGTGTTGCTGATATTGGCCTTAAACTTGTGATCCTCCTGCCTCAGCCTCTTGAGTCACTAGGATAACAGGCATGTGCAGCTGAAAAGTCTTTAAAAATATTTCTCTTTCCAATTTTTATCTATGTGGTGGGGCCAGAGTTCTTTATGTATCTGAACCAAAACAGCATATTATACCAAACCGAATGCAGAAACAAATATGAGAATCTACCTGTCTTTTATTTAGACAGACATTAAAGAGATTTGCAAAAATGTAAATCATTCTCATGTAAATCATTTTGGAAAGTATAGTAAATTTTTATTAAAAAAATATTATGTTAACATAAAATAGGTATATTATTTTAATGGTTATCAAATATTTTTAAATTTATTAATTTTAATTTATGATAAACAGATATAGCTCATATAAACAAAAGCTCTTTGGGTTCTTAATTTTTAAGAGTATAAAGTGATACTGAGATGAAAAAGTTTGAGAAATGCTCGTTTAAAATATGTTTATGCCTAGGAGAGTAGCTCAGTGGTAGAGTGCTTGCCTAGCATGGGTTTGATATACAGCACAGAATAAAGTTTACAATTTTTGTGTTATTTAATTATAGGGAATTGATCCATTTTCCTTAGATGTTCTTGCAAAACATGGAATAGTAGCTCTTCGTAGAGCCAAAAGAAGAAATATGGAAAGGTAAGCTTGTGCATTATACATCCCAACTTCTTTAAACAAACTGAAGTTATTCCATGTTTAATCCTTTTAGTTTATAAGTAAACATTGTTGAACAAAATAGTAGTGTACGAATTCCAAATTTTGTTCTTAATTTTAATAAACAGTTGAAATTGTAAAATTAGAGTCAAGTACAAGGAAGGTTTTCATATTTTTAAGAGAGATTTTAAAAACAATGCAATGGGATGTGATCTCACTTATATGTGGAGTCTAATAATGTTGCAGTCATAGAAGTAGAGAGAAAATCGTAACAAAGGCACACACCTGTAATCCTAGCAACTCAGGAGTTTAGGGTAGAAGAATTTCAAGTTCGAGGCCAATCTCAGCGACTTAGTGAGGTCTTAAGCAACTTAGTGAGACCTGTTTCAAAATAAAGAATTGAAAGGGCTGGGGATGGTAACTCAGTGATAAAGCACCCCTGGATTAAATCCCCAGTATGGTAGGGTGGGGTAGATAGGAGAATGGTAGTTTACCAGAGGCTAGGAAGTTTGGGGGTTTAGAAGATGTAGGTCAAAGTATACAAATTTCTGTTAGGAAGAATAAATTCAAGGATCTATTGTACAACATAGTGACTGTAGTTAATAATATACGTATTGTTGAAAATGCTAAGACTAGATTTTTAAGTGTTGTCACCATAAAAATGATAACTACGAAAGTTAATGCATCTGTTAATTAGCTAGATTTAGCCATTTTGCTGTGTGTGTGTGTGTGTGTAAAATTTCAAAATATCATGTTGTATGTTTTAAATACATTTATTTGTCAACTAAAAAGTAAACAAATTGCCCCCAAATAATATAACACAGCAACTATGTAATCTTCTATGTTAGATCCTTTCATCTTTAAGAAATTAGCCTTTATGTTTTCCATAACCAAAACTATGTAATTTCAGACTCTCTCTTGCTTGTGGTGGAGTGGCTGTGAATTCTCTTGAAGACCTAAATGCAGAATGCTTGGGACATGCTGGTCTTGTATATGAGTACACACTAGTGAGTATTTTTGTGAATAATTGTTATAGGGCTGGGGTTGTAGCTCAATGGTGGAGCGCTTGCCTAGCATGTGTGAGGAACTGGGTTCAATCCTCAGCACCAATAAATAAGTAAAATAAAGGTATTGTGTCCATCTACAACTAAAATAATATTTAAAAATAGTTGTTATAAAGTGAATACTAAGCCTTTTTAAAAAATACTAACTTTTTAATTCATATTTTGCATTTTGAAATCTATAGGACAGACTTTGCAATTTATTTACCTAAATATTTTTAAGAGTTCAAATACAATTTATTCATTTATTTATTTTTTTGGGGGTACTGTGAATTGAACTCGGGGGTACTCAACCACTGAACCACATCCCCAGCCCTGTTTTGTATATTTTATTTAGAGATAGGTTCTCACACAGTTGTTTAGAGCCTCGCAGTTGCTAAGACTGGCTTTGAACTCGCAGTTCTCCTGTCTCAGCCTCCAAGCCCCTGGGATTACAGGCGTGCGCCACCGCGCTCGGCCACAACTTACTTTTAAATATATTTTTAGTTATGCTTAAGAAAAATTCACATGAAGAATAGATTCTCATATAAAATAAGTCTTGATTTCATAATGACATTGAATATTAAAGTTATATCTGTGTGTGTGTCGGGGGGAGGAGGGTGCTGAGGATGGAACCTAGGGTCTCACACATGCTCCACAAGCATTCTACCCCTGAGCTATATCCCCAGCCTGAAATTCTTGTGTCGTTCTTTAGGGTGAAGAAAAGTTCACTTTTATTGAGGACTGTGTTAACCCTCGCTCTGTCACCTTGTTGGTCAAAGGACCAAATAAGCATACTCTTACACAAATCAAGGATGCCCTAAGAGATGGACTTCGTGCCATCAAAAATGCCATTGAAGATGGTAAGGTCTTTTTGTGATGGATATGGACCTCACATATTTTTTAATTAGTAATAAATCTGTCATGATATATATGGTATTTCAAAAGATAAGAATTGTTAGTATTTTTTCATTCCACTTTGGACCGTGTGTTGTTTGGGTTATAAATATTTTTACTGCTGGGCACAGTGGTGCATGCCTGTAATCCCAGCAGCTCAGGAGGCTGAGGTAGGAGGATCATGAGTTCAAAGCCAGCCTTAGCAAAAGTGAGGTGCTAAGCAACTCAGTGAGACCCTGTCTCTAAATAAAATACAAAATAGGGCTGGGGATATGGGTCAGTGGTTGAATGCCCCTGAGTTCAATCCCGGTATGCAACCCCCCTGCAAAAAAAAACAAACACAGAGTTTTCCTTTGAAATGTTCTTAATATTCTGCTGTCCTCCCTAATTAGTTTATGAAATGAAAAAGTACTTATAATGTCACTATTTATTTTTAAAAGTCTATTTGTATTTTATTAATTTTTTTGTAGTTATAGCTGGAAAGTATGCCTTTATTTATTTTTATGTGGTGCTGAGAATCAAACCCAGTGCCTCACAAGTGCTAGGCAAGTGCTCTGCCACTGACCTACAGCCCCAGCCTTAGAAGTTTATTTTTAAAAGCATGAAAATTTTTATAGCTAGAATTCATTCTGTTACCTCAGGTGCAGTATTATTTTATGAAAAAATTAGGAAGGAATATTAGCATTTATTATTTATTAATAATTTATAACCAACTTTCTTCTGAAAAGGATTTGGGGTAGATAACTTATTTAAAGTAGGATGATAGGCACATGAAAAGATGTTCAACATCACCAGTCATTAGGGAGATGAAAATCAAAACCACAAAGAGGTACTCTTTCTCAACCTCTAAGATGGCTATAATAAAAAAGCTGGACAACAGAATGTAGACAGAATGTAGAGAAACTGGAAACTGAATGCATTGCTAATGGAAAGTGTTGGAAGACATGTAGTTCCTCAAAAAATTAAACATGTAGTTACTGTATGACCGAACAAGTCTTAGGGATATATGTAAGAGGGTTGAAAACATGTTCACACAAAAACTTGCACACAAATGTTCATGGCAGCATTTTTCAAAATAGCTAAACATGGAAACAATCCAAATGTGCATTGGCTGATAAATGAATAAAAAATGTGGTATTTTCATGATAAGAGTATTATAAAGTACTGGTATACATTACAACATGGATGAACCTTGAAAACATTGCTAGGTCAAAGAATCCAGATACAAAAGTCCTCCTATATGCTTTCATTTATGTGAAATGTCCAAGAATGACAAGTGCACATAGACAAAAAGGAGATTAATGATTGCCAAGGACTGGGAAGGGGAGAAGAGTGATTGCTAATGGGCACAGGGATTTTTTTGGTGGGGGGAGGGATGCTGAAATGTTCTAAAATTAGTGGTGATGATTGCAGTCTTTTTTTTAAAATATTTTTTAGTTGTCAATGGACCTTTATTTTATTTATTTATATGTGGTGCTGAGAAACGAACCCAGTGCCTCACACATACTAGGCAAATGCTTTACCACTGAGCCACCACCCCAGCCTGATTGCAATGTGTTGTAAATATATTTTTTATATATATATATAATTTTTTTTTGGCACCAGGGATTGAACTCAGGGGCACTTAACCACTGAGGCACATCCCCAGCCCTTTTTTGTATTTTATTTAGAGACACGGTCTCACTGAGTTGCTTTGGGCCTTGCTAAGTTGGTGAGGCTGTGATCTTCTGCCTCAGCTTCCCAAGCCGCTGGGATTTAGGCATGCGCCACCATGCCTGGCAATATATTTTTTAAAATACTGAAAAGTACACTCTAAGAGGTTGAATTTTATGGCATGTGAGAAAGATAAGAAACATAAATAATGGTTAGATTTGTTTGATAAGCAGAAACAGATGTGAAATAATGTAAAATTAAAGTTGAAGTGGAAAGTTAGAACCTAGAGAAAAGAATATAAATAATAGCAAATATAATAATCAATATTAATATTTAACCACTATGAATCACTATTAATATTTAAGTTACCAGAATATACATAGATTTCATTACCAAAAAAAGAGAAAATATATTAGTTCCTAATTGGAAATAATATGGGGCTTTATATATGGGTCACTGTCTGCTTTTTATAGTCAGAAAAATATTGTTGCTATTTTGGGGATTGAACCCAGGGGCACTTTAGCACTGAGCTACATCTATAACCCTTTTTATTATTTTAGTTTAAGACAGGGTCTTACTAAGTTGCCCAGGCTGACGTCAAATGTGGAGATACTCCTGCCTTAGCCTCTGAAGTCACTAGGATTACAGGCATGCACCAGCATACCAAATTTTTGTAGTTACTTTTGATAGACTCTTGAAGCCTTTGATAGTTACACTCAATTCTTAGAATTCAGAATACATAGATGGATGAATAAACTACTATTTTTCTTTATCACTTCAACCACTTATTTTTTTAAAGAATTTTATTAAGATATAATTGACATAAGGAATCGCACATATTTAAAGTGAACACCCCTGACCATCATCTCAATTGAGATAATAAACATATCCATCACCCCAAAAATGTTCCTCAGTGCCTATTGATAATTCCTCCCTCTGCTTCTCCCCATGCCACCCCATCTCCAGGCATTCATTGGTCTGCTTTCTGTCATTACAGATGAGTTTGCATTCTGTAATACTTTATATGAATGCAATAATATAGTATGTTCTCTTGTTTTATTTATTTTTTAAAATTCTTTTTAGTTGTTGATAGACTTTTATTTTATTCATTTATTTACATGCAGTGCTGAGAATCGAACCCAGTGCCTCCATATGCAAGACAGGTGCTGTACCACTGAGACACAACCCCAGCCCCTGTTCTCTTGTTTTAGTATAGCTTCTTTTTTAAAAATTTTTTTTAGATGTTGATGGGCCTTAATTTTATTCATTTATTTATATGCGGTGCTGAGAATCGAACCCAGTGCCTCACACATGCTAGGCAAATGATCTACCACTGAGCTACAACCCCAGCCCTTAGTATAACTTCTTTGATACTGATTGATTATTTTGAAATATTTTATCTTTCTGTGGTTGATTCTGTTTTATTGTTAAATAGGATTCCTTTGTGTGAATATACTATAATTTATCCATTCACCTGTTAATGGAATTTAGTTAGTTCCAGTTCTTGGCTATTACAAATATAGCTGCCATGAATAAGTCTTTTACAGATATTTATTTATTGGATAAATGCCTAGGAATCCAATGGCTATGATAGGTATATATTTAATTTTTTAGAAATTGACAAACTGTTTTGTCACCTTTACATTACACCCATAATCAGTGTATGAACATTCCTGTTATTCTCATCAATACTTGATATGATAGGCTGTTTTAGCCTTTTGAATATTAAACAAACAAACAAATTAGGGTTTTAATGTGCATTTCCCAATGATTATTGATGTTGAACATCTTTTTATGTGCTTGTTATCCATGTATCCTTCATAAGGTTTCTGTTCAATTTTTTGTCCTTTTTGAAAATTAAATTGTTTTCTTATTGTTGAGTTTAAAAGTTCTTTTATGTTATAGATTCAAGTACTTTGTCAGATATATGATCTGTAGAGTTTTATCCTTCTCTGCCCATAGCTTGTTATTCTCTAAAGAGTGTGTTTCAAACGGAAGTTCTTAATTTTGAGGAGGTCTAAGATCAGTTTTCTTTCTTTCACAGATTATGCTTGTGGTATGGTATCTAAGAAATATTTACCTAACCTAGGGTCACAAAATTTCTCTTATTTTTTTCTTTTTAAAGTGTTATTGTCTTAAGGTTTACATTTAGGTGTTTGCTTACTTGCTTGCTTGATTTCTTTCTTTCTTTCATGGTGCTTCATGGGAGAGCAGCATGTCATAGCCAAATACATTTATTATAAGATTAAATGACTAAAACTACTTATTCTGTAAACATACCGGTTTTCTGTGTCTTCAGTTCATCTTAATCTATTTAGTTCCCAGCATCTTTTGAAAACCTCTTTTGAATGTGGAGTTATTCATTTCAGAGAATAGCTCTGCTGCATTCCTAATGGCAGTGGAAGGTGTTTAACAGACACTGCTTTGTAGCAGAGATCCATGGCTGCCTTTTTAAAAAAAAAATTATTTTTTAGTTGTAGTTGGACACAATACCTTTATTTTATTTATTTATTGTTACATGGTGCTGAGGATGGAACCCAGGGCCTTGCACGTGCTAGGCAAGTGCTCTACCGCTGAGCCCCAACCCCAGCCCTCCATGGCTGCCTTTTGATGACAAATTGTAAGTCTTCATCAGGACTAAAATATTATCAATCAATCAATCAATCTATCTATCTATATATCAATCTATCCATCTATCTATGTTGGAATGGCCTTCAATTCAGAGGTGTCAGTCCTAGGTGGCCAACTCCATTGCTGTGGACCAGAGATGAGGCACAGCACATTGTGGTGGAAGGGTATGGTAGAGGAAAGCAGTTCAGGACACAACAATCAGGAAGCAGTAGGTCTATGATTCATTTCAAGTTACTTTTTGTATATGGTTCAGGATATGGATCCATGCTCATTTTTTTCACGTATAAGTGTTACATTGTTTTAGCCCCATTTCTTGAAAAGAACATGTTTCACCACCAAATTCCCTTTGCATCTTTATTAAAAATCAGTTGTCCAGCTGGATGAGGTGATCTGTGATCCCAGTGACTGGGGAGGTTGAGGTAGGGAGATCTCAAGTTAGAGGCCTCAAAGTAAAAAAAAAAAAATAGAAAAAGGCTTGGGATGTGGCTTAGTGGTTAAGTGCTCCAGGGTTCAATCCCCCATACTAAAAAAAAAAAAAAAAAAAATCAGTTGTCCATATTTTTGTGATTCTATTTCTGTGTTCTTTATTCTGTTTCATGGATTTATTTGTCTTAATGTTAATATTATACTGTCTTAATGGCTATATATGTCTTTAGATCATTAGTGTTAAGCCTCACATTTT